TTAGTAAGATAAGAAAATGTATCAAAAATTACTGAAATGCAGAAAATATTTATAGTAGTTACCCCACAAGTGGTAAAATTAAGAAATTTTGTTTATACATTTTACAATGAACATATAATCAAGTAAGGGAGCCCAAATTCATGAAAGCCATTCTACTTTATTATTTTACACTAAAAACTAATAAGGATTAATTTAAAATATGAGTCATTTTAAGAGATTTAAGTAAGTTTCTATATATGTAATGATGAGTAGAGTAAAACAAGTAACAGTCAATAGGCTAGCTCCTGAACTAGCATTATCTAACTGGGTTCATATTAATTATTCAACAGCTAAACACTTCAGGTTGTTTATGAATGATTAACATTACAAATGACAATGTTGTAAATGATAATATATAAAAATACATAGACCCCCCAAATCTGCATTATACTTAAAGTCTTCTGTATATTTTAAGTCCTTAGTATTACAAACAGAGTAACTTAAAATCAGTTTAACTTTCCATTTAAATGCATTTAGGGATACAGAATATAAAAGTAATTGACTGTGCATCATAATTTTTTGATACATCATTAATAAAAGATATTGTCAGTTTCCTCCCTGGTGGCACAGCAGGTTAAAGCACAGCACTAAAAAGCTAAAGCCACCTTAGCATGAGTTCGATCCCCAGCCCCAGAGGTGATCCACATGGCAACACAGCAGACCTCTCCTGACCAGCCTGCTGCTCCCCTCAGCAATGTACTTCGTCAGTCAGCCTGTTCTGCTCCCCGCTCTGTCTCTGGTGAATCCTTTCACCACCCCTGTACCTCTGGCCTGTACCCCAGCTCTGTATGCATAAATAAATCTTTGGAAAAAAAAAAAAAGACACTGTCAGGTGGGGTTTAAAGAAGTGTGTAGAACTATGTGCTTTTAGAAAAAATTTTAAAAATAAAACCATTTAAAATGGAATTTCCTAGAACTAGTTGTATTTACAGTTTAAATAATACAAGAATTTAAAGTGTGCTAACAGAAAGACCACCAGATGGAAATCCAAAAGACTGGTGCTTTAAAATGTGACCTCAGGCAATTATTAGGTTCCTTAGCCACAAAAATGGGATTCTAATAACGTGTATTTTTCAATATTGTTAAAGATTTACTTATTTATGCATACAGAGCTTGGGTACAGGCCAGAGGTGTAGTGGGGAGAGAGGCTTCACCAGAGATAGAGCGGGGAGCTCTGGTAACAGAACAGGCCAACTGACTAAAGTACTGCTGAGGGGAGCTGCAGGCAGATCAGGAGAGGTCTAATGGACTATGTGAGTCACCTACGGGGCTTGGGATCAAATTCACACTGAAGAGGCTGCAGCTGGCTTGCTGTGTTGTTTCCTAACCCACTGTACCACCAGGGAGGGCTCTCATTATTATTTAAAGATATCTAGAGCATTTATATTTAAGGGGTTTACTAAATGTAAAATATTAGCAAAATAATAATACAGGTTCACTTTTTAGGCCTTATCTAAAATAAACAGGTTTTATCAAATCATTCCCAAAATCCCTTAGAGCTCTAATTATTTATTAAAAAACAGAATAACGCTTGCACAGATAAAAGGTAACAAAAAGTATTAAACACTTTTCTATTCACACAATTCATGAATTCATTCATGCAGATATATGCAATAAGCCAACTCCTAAAATTAGGATAGAGACTAAAGATGCTTTCATTATAGTGGTTTTTAAAAATTACTTTTTATGAAAAAGTTAACTGCTGTTATCTATCACTAGCAAAAACTACTCTTCAAACAGTATTTCTTTTTTATCCCTACTTCCCCAAATAATTTATTTCCCAGATGTAATCACTGTTAAGATTCTTCATCTCTATCCAGACATCTTCAATATGCAGTTACTAACTTTAGACCGAAGAATTTTTAAGCTAGAAAAGATTGGTCCAAAACAGCTTTCAATTTTATAAACAGGTAACCTGAGATTAGTTATTTTTTTAGTTGTTATTAATATCTAGGCAATACATTACAATTCTTAAATGTTTTGACATAAATTATTTTTAAATTATTCAAATTACTGAATACCTCAAAGTTATTTAACAAGTTAATAATAGTTAGAAAGTTGATTTCTTAACATGTGGGTATTACTAATATATTTTAGATGTGTCCAATCCTTAGGTATATTGTTCTTATGTTTTCAAAGTTATTGTATCATGTAGGGGATTAGAAAAGTTTGGCAATTCTGAATAAATTATATACAAAAGTCATTAAAATTGTTTTAAAAGGAAGAATCTTAGCAATGAAAGATTTTTATCTTAAATGTAGTATTCTTATGTCCTAAAGATTCATGTTTTTCAAGATTATTGAATCACTTGTAAAGTATGCAATGAATATACTTTGGATTAAAAAAAATAACATCAAATTGAGAAGCAACTTAAGAGATACCTAAGTAATGAGAATTTTACATCTGACATAAATGCAAGAAAACTACATGCAGACATCAACTATAACAAATTTTACTCTCCCTCCAACCCCCAAAGGAACCAACTGAATAATAAAACACTTAAAAGACACTGCAGCATTCTCTCTCTCTGGTATACAGAACATCAATGTTAGCCATAATAACTGCATTGCACTATGGCAATGACAACTAGAAAATACACCTTAGTTATTATTAAGGGCAAAAATGAAAGTATGTTTTATTAGGACATATCAGACCAAAATTAGAAATAATTTTAAAAATAATTCTGCAGTAAAAATATAAAATGGAAAATATTCAAAGAAGTTCAAATAAAGATTCTCCATGTGGCCCTCCCTGGTGGTGCAGCGGGTTAAAGCACAGCACTGAGAATCTAAAGCCGCTTCCGCATGAGTTCGATTCCCGCCTGCCCCGGAGGTGACCACATGGCGTGGCAGACCTCTCCTGGCCCGCCCGCTGCTCCCCTCAGCAGTGCCTGTTCTGCTCCCCACTCTGTCTCTCTCTGGTGAATCCTCTCACCCTCCGCGTCTCTGGCCTGTACCCCAGTTCTGTATGCACAAATAAATAAATCTTAAAAAAAAAAAAAAGATTCTCCATGTGTGGAATATAGTTGTAAAAGAAGAATTTATATTAATGGAGGAACTAACTACTAAATTTTAGACATGTATTCTAAATTTACTAAAATTTAATGATCAACATACCATCAATACAAACTCAGATAACCAGAATAATCTCTGGGAAAAAAGAATGAAAAAATCAAAACAAAAGAAATTGCATATAATACATAAAACCTTGCCATCAAATTTCAATTTTTTATTATATTAAATAATATTTACCCACAAGTGAAAATGTTAGTTTTATTTTTTTTGTTATAGTTTTAAAATGGCTTGTTAGTAATACAAATTATGGTTTTTATTTTTCAAGAACTGTCAATAAAATAAAAACAGAAATAAAAAAACCTAGGGGGCTACACAAATATATTATCAATCTCCTAATTAAAAACAGACTAAAATCCCAACTACTTTCCAAAGGGAGAGAAGTCCTCCAATTTAATCAGAAAAACAAAAACAAACCAAAAAACCATTCTCTGAGAAAAGAATGCTCTATTCTGTTGGTACTATCTGGAAAAATTTTATTAACTTTACTGATTGGACACAGTTTCCGTTTTGTTAAAATGAAGGTATGTAGGGCCCTCCCTGGTGTCACAGAGGGTTAAAGCACAGCACTAAGAAGCTAAAGCCACTTCAGCATGAGTTCAATCCCCGCTGCCTCAGAGGTGATCCACATGGCGCAGCAGACCTTTCCTGACCCACCCGCCGCTCCCCTCAGCAAGTGTACTTTGTCCATCTGCCTGTTCTGCACCCCACTCTTTCTTTGGTGAGAATATGCTCACCGCCCCTGCACCTCTGGCATATGCACAAATAAATAAATCTTAAAAAAAAAAAAAAAGAAAAAAAAGAAGATATATAAACATCACATTTTTTTTTAATTTTTTGTGCTTTTTACTGATATATTCAGGCCTTTTTCATTTTATGAAATGATTGAAACATTTTATATCTGTGCTAGATAATTCTAATGTATAAACTATTACTTTATCTTCCAAATGAGCTATAAATTATTTTTTTTGCTGATTCTCTTCATGATTTCCTGTTTATAAAGTGATTTCGTTTTTTTACACTCATTTTTCCTTTTCAAAATCCTTTTAGAAAGGATTTACATTTGATCCTGTTATTCTTAAATATCAGGACTAGAAATCACAAAACAAAAACCTCAACCTGAGGTGTTGCTTTTTTAAAAATACACCATTTAAGTAGTATGAATTTAGAATGGAAACTTTTATAAAAACTAGGTCATGGCTATAAACTGAAGGAAGACCCATTTCCCCTTTAATATATGACACATTTTCCTTATATTCTTCTATGAAAGGAGTTGGTATGAGTTTATTTCTAATTTACCATTTTGCTGGACTTAGCACTTATGGATTCCAACTTTATTAGTCATATCTACTGGGGTTTGTCTATTTTAGAAAAGATCCTCAAAGTTGAGTTACCTTCGTGCTCTGTCTGACTTTTTGGGATCCTACTTTCACTGAGTCTTTGGTTTGTATTTTGTTTTGCATAGTCATTGATGAATTAAAAATTGTTTAAACAACATTTTTAGTTGTTCTAAACAAGAATGTTATTTAGACCCCCACAGTGCCATAATATTACAATTAAAAGGTACATACTATTATCTTTCAATATTATTCTCTTTTTTTCTAGAATGTCATCTGCAGCTTTTGGGGTTTCTACTACAGTTACTTCATTTTTTTTTAAACAGTCCTTTCTTACAAGAATTTCAATTTTTTGTATATATACAACTATGTCTCTTGCTCAAAAGTTACCATCAAAGGAAGTAACATACTTATAGGATAAAACAAGAAGCGGTAACACCACACTTTTACATATTTTATTTGAAACCATAATTTCAACAATGGATTATTAAATTATGAGTAAAGAAAGATTGCTTAGACAATAACCCAATGGCCTACAGAAAATCTTACTTACTTTGGAAGGAGAACCGTCAGTAATTTTCACCAACTGCCAAAGAATTGAATAATGGGAACACTGCAGTGCCTGTACGACTATCTGTATCAAATAAAAATTCAAGCAAATTAGACATAACTTAGATTTGCACAGTGTTAATAGGGCAACTTTATCATAGTTTTAATCTTATTATAACGCTTCAAGTACAAACTTTGCAAAAAGGTTATTAAATACTGGGTTTAAAAGATAAAACAACACATTAGTCTATACAATAAAAACAGACAGTATCTTGACAAATATGGGCCCAAATAACATGTTTAAACAAAATCGGGCCATCATGACTACTTTGCTTAGTCATATTTTTAAGAGGAGAACAAAAATATTTTATCTACATTTACAATATGTAAAATTGAACAAATTATCCAATTTAATAACAGTTATTTATTTTAAAATATTTAATTTAAAACACAACCCATACAGAAATGTATATAAAACTTAGTAAGTTAGTATAAAGAAAAATAAGCTATGAGATCTTACCCAGATTAAGAAAATAATCTTTTCTCTCCTCAATGAGTAAGTTATTTTAACTAAATTTACATCCTCAAGTACTAAGTTTATGCCTAATCATGAACACTATAAGTGGAATCATCCATTATGTATTACTTTGAAAAGAACATCTTTCATTTAATATTTATGTTTGAGATTTATACATGGTGTTGCATGAGCTGTATTTCATTAATATTTAGTCCTGTAAAATATTTAGTCTATCTTCCACTTAAAAAAAAATTCATTTCTTTGTTGCTGAACTTTTATAATGTTTTTACTTTTAGGTCATTATAAATAATGACATAAGCATTCTTACATATGTCTCTTTGTGCACTGACAGATACACTTCTCTACTGCAGAGGCTCTTTAATGTTTTAACTCTCAGGCCCTCCTTACAATTTTAAAAACTACTAAGGTGCCACAGAGTTTTTGTTTATATGGATTATAATATAAATACCAATATTTCTATACTACAAATGAAAAATGTTAAAATATTCGTCCACTCAATAAAAAGGTAGTAAGCTGATTATATCATAACAAAAATTTCTGAAAAAACAAAACAATTTTCTAAAATAAAAAAAAAGTTGATGGGGAGCATGGCACTCATTTACAATTTTGTAAATCTTCTGTCTGGCATAAGAGAAAATTGATGTTTCACATTTGCTGCTATTTTAACTGACGAAAATCCAGTGTCATAGATTAGTTTGGGAAAAATGTGTGTTGCAACAGCCTTTGTAGAAAAATGTGGCTATTCTTTGATATGACACTAATTCAATGTATACCTGTGGGAGAATTAGAATGAACGTAGTAAGTTATACCTTCGTTATGTTATGAAAATAATTTGTCCTCAGGGATTTACCTTCAAAATTCTGAGGAGTTCCCAGACCACAAGTTGAGAAACACTGCTCTAGATAGGACTGCTGGATTACATACCATACATACGTTTAACTTCACAGTAGACAGTACAAAACTGTAATCTAAAGGGGCTGTATGAAGTAGTCTTTTTTATTCATGAATCTAGCTGTCTTTCACATTTTCAGTGGGTCTGCCTTCCACTAACACTTGATACCATTAGATACTCTAAATTTGGTGATTTCATTATGTATCAGTAGTATCTCAATGTGGTAATTTACATTTCTCTAATTACCAAAGGAGATGGCTACTTTTTCCATTTTTATTATCATTATTTTTCAGAGAGATAAATAACAAATTCAGGAAAATAAAACTAAGTATTATAACACTAAAGAAAATCTCTTTTTTTAGGTCTTTTACTACATTTTTGTTTGAGTACATAGTATATATTTATTGCTATAGTGCACATCTGATAGGATAATATTCCACTATTATAGGATCTTTGTTGTCTTTACAACTCAATAAAAAAAACCCACCACATGGATATGTATATAAAGAATGCAGCAAAAGAAAATTCAGTGAGAGGAATGTTGCAGGAAGCAGCTGAGAGTTTTACTCAAAAATGATCACTTAAGCAAAACATCTCCAATGTGCCTACTCAGTGCTGAAATTAACTCAGAATTAGAGGGATGAGTGGTATGCTTTTCATAAAACACTAATGAGATGATATTAGGTTTTATTAAATACAATTAATTTAGTGATTGACTGATGTCAGAATGCCAGAAGCAAGACTACTAAAACACTGTCAAGTTATGATTAGTAATGTCAAAAAAAAATCACCTTTCTATACTTAGAAGTTATTCAATATAGTACACCTACTTGTGCTGAGACACCTTTCGATAATGCTAATTTAGAATAGTAGTGAGCATGGAAGGAAAAAATTTTAAAAGATTCTCTTCAATTTGAAATGACTTGAATTATGAAATTACAGAAGCAATATAAAAATTAAGTGTAATCAATGAAAAATTAAGATTTGAAAAGATTAAGATTTGGTGGTGCAACAAGTGAAAGCAGAGCATTATGAAGCTTTCCTAAGCCACTGTGGCCAAGAGTTCAATTCCTGGCTAGGGAGATAACCCACAATGCACGGCAGACCCCTCTTGGCCCCGCCGCTGCTTTTGCAGCAGTGCATTTCAATGGCTCTGCCTGTTCTGCTCCCCACTCTGTCTCTGGTGAATCCTGTAAAACCCTACCCTCAACACCTCATTCTTATGCATAAATTAAAACATCTAAAAAAAAAGATTTTGAAAAAAAGGTAATATTGAGGAATTGCTTGATTTGTATATATCAGTTATTCTAGTCATCACAAATACCATTTACTCCCCTTTCCCACTGACCATACATTAGGAATTATTCAAACTGTATGCCGATGTTTTCCAGGAGAGGAGGTATTAAAGGTTGAGAAAAACTTGGTCACTCTAACACTTATTTTAAATATTTTAAGCTATTACATATACATTGATACTCATCAGACTTTTCTTTAAAAGAACTCCTATTTATTATTTTGGAATAAAAAGTCACTCTCGTTGACTGGGAGCACTTTGCTTTCTCACAGATATTATTATATAACAATACAGTTGATTACATTTCAAAAGAAAATTCAGAACTTTTTCAGTTTTTACAGCAGTCATATTGATATTTTGTCCTCTATAACACTAATATTATCTTAACTTGTCCCAGAGTCATTTAGTCAGCAACTTCTTTTTTGTGAAACAGATGAAGTAGGAAGGACAAATGATAAAAATCTGAAAAAGCCAATGGATTTTTTCTCACCAAAGAGCACCAGTCCTTTTACCTTTTCTTGACTAACACTGCTCTGACCTTGGAGAGGATCTTAAGATATTAATGTTAAATCCAATGACTAACTCCTAATCTTCAGTTTTGTGTTTTAAGGGGGAAACTGTTCATAGGAGGTTACAGTAACGTGTACCAAACATTTCTTCAAAAAAGTAGTCAAGAAGCAGGAATGTCCTTCTCTCTGATCTGTCAGCAGGTTACCTACATCTTGGGTTCCTGAATGATGGGAAGGTGCAGTGATACAGACTTTACTTTATGGTGATGCAAAATAAATTTTTATTGGTTACATCACCATGACACTGAGATTAACCTATTAGAATAGTTCATATTATCTAACATAAAGTTATTTTTTAGACAGATAAGTAGATTAGGAAGATGTGTCATGTATATATACAATGGAACACTAAACTCAACTTCCAGTTGACACAACATGGATGTAACTAGAGGAGATTAGGCTAAGTAAAATGAGGCAGAAGAAAGACAAATACCCAGATGTTGTCACTTATATGTGGAAGATAAAGAAAAAAACCAAGCCAGTAACAAACCTAGAAATAGGATTGTAGAACTGAGACTACCAAAGGAGAAAGACAAACCAAGCCCATTTGGAGATGGGGTACAATGGGCTATATCAGAGAACTATAGTGCCTTGGTGGTGAGTGTGGTAACATACACCTGAATGAGGGTGATCTTATACCTTACCTTCTAAATCACATACAACGTTGAAAACCAGTTACCTCAAAAAAGGAAAAACAGGGATTCTGACAGGACAAAAGGGCAATCTCTTATTATGCTGCGCACCAGTATACAATGATGGAGAGCACTAAGAAGAATACTAAAGTTTAATTTGCTTTAATGAGGCATATGGTAATTGTGATGGATCATTTGTTCAAATAAATGTATGCATATGAAAAATAATGTAGTGATTATTAAATACAACAAGGAAAGAGCTAGAAAGGAGAAGAAATATTCCTGATGATATGTTTTTAATTTATTTCACTTTTTAAGATTTATTTATGCATACAAGTAATCCCTAGGAGAAGAAAGAATGAAAAACTAAGGAAATAACTGAGAAAACTTCCCAAACTTTGAGGAACTAAAGATAGGAATACAGGTAGCTAAAAGAAAATCTAAAGCATGACACAAAATAGTAAATTCAGGCCCTCCCTGATGGCCCAGCAGGCTAAAGCACAGCACTGAGAAGCTAAAGCCACTTTAGCATGAGTTTAACCCTCACCCCCAAGGTGATCAGTAAGGCATGGCTGACCTCTCCGGACCTGCCTGCTGCTTCCTTCATTAGCATATTTCAGTAGATCTGTTCCCCACTGTCTCTGGTGAATCCTCTCACCCCCACATCTCTGGCCTGTACTCCAGTTCTGTAAGCATAACTAAATAAATCTTTTATAAAATATATGTATGTAAATTCAGACATGTATAACCCCAAATGAGAGAGGTGTTAGTAGAGGAAAACGAGGAAAACAAAAAAGGAAATATTTTAGTTTTGTCATCCCCTTTCAATTTTGAAGCACAGCTCAAAAATATCTGTGAATTTTATCTAGGTTACTGAAAAGATTAGATTAAAAAAGATAGAAGCTGAAGAGTCAACAATCAATGAAGAAAAACAACAGGATCAATATGAGCCTCATTTTATAAACCATTTAACATATCAGTGACATTTGTTACTAAGAAAAGAAGTTATATTACAAAGGTATCAAAAACACCATCAGGCACCTAAAAAGAACTATTCATAAGGAAACATACAGCATTTTTCTATAATCAACTTTTTTCCTATAATTAACTTTAAATATGAAATTATAATTGTTAAATTGCTGAGATTCTTACTGCTTTAGTGCAAGGAATTATCAGATAAGCATTTTAAATACCCAAATGGTAATTAATGGGATTATCCCTAAATACCCAACTATACATAACTATAGGGTTGTTACTTTGATCTACATAGTGCCTGATATGTACAAAATAACTTTTAAATTCTTAACAATGACTGTTAACTATTAATAGAATTAAGTTGAGTATTAAGAAACTATGTGAAGTTCTCTTCTAGGCTAGAGAAAGTTGGCTAAATTTCTGACCAACCCACTCCAGAAGAGTGCAAAATTCGAAGATCTGCTAAAGGTCCTCAAGCTTATTTAACTATGGTTTTATAAAAATTAAGTCATACCTAAAGTTTATTTTTAGCATAGCTAGAATAGTGCCTGGAATACAGCTATAATCAGAAATTTTCACTACCTTCTATCAATCAAATTTTGAAATTGCTACTATTATAACTAACAGTATTTCCCTGAAGGAGTAAGAATTTTTAACTTAATATTAAAATTTTGAGCTAGATTATAGTCATGTTTCTCTATTATTTTCTGCTCAAATCTGAAGATAAAATATACTTTTCAATAAAATCCAATTACCATGGCAATAATTTTCAAAGGAGTCAATTGCATTAAAATATTATCAGCTACTTTTTATGAAAGGCTTTTGATAGTATTATGTGATCTCAGAAAAGTATAGCTTTCTAAAATGACAAAACCTACCTGCTCTGGCATAGCTCCATGTTCAATTCCAGTCTTCAATAATCTATAGCAATTACCAAACAGATCCCATTTTGTGAGATCATGAGCACTAAAAAAACAAAAACAAAAACAAAAAAAACCCAACAATACATTAATTTCATATAACTTACTAAAATAAATTAGTAAATAATTTAACTTATTACATAAAATTAATAACCTACATTAAATTTGAGTTTAGTTTCAGTGTGAAAAATAACAATTTTCTTGCAAAATTGAAAAAGAAACAAAGGAAATGTTTTAGGGCTCAAATTTTGAAATAGGGAAGGGGAGGAAAAAGGTAAAGTAAAAGACATAAAGGAAGAGAAAGAAAGCATGAGAGAGCATAAAATCATTGAAAGAATCCAGAAATCATTAAGAGAGATAAGCAATAATGTTTAAGTGAAGGCTACTGCCACATGGTTAACAAAAGCTCATATTCATATTCCAAAGATGGTGTAAATGGTCTACTGATTCATTTACAAGTTAAATCAAATTAAATACCCTACTAAGTTAACATACTTCTCCCACTATTTTTTAAAATATATTTAAACAAATCCATTTACAATTTCAAAGTATAATACATGTCTATTCTGTATTCACAAGATGGAGATAGACAAAATGGAAATATAGTAAAGCTCAAAAACTTTAGTATAGTTGGGTTCTCCCTGGTGGCGCAACGGGTTAAAGCACTGCATTATGAAGCTCTCCGAAGCAACTGCATGCACGAGTTCCATCCCTGGCCAGGGAGCTGACACACATGGTGTGGCAGACCTCTTCTGACCTGCCAACTGCTACCCTCCTCAGTGTACTTTGTTAATCTGCCTGTTCTGCTCTCCACTCTGTCTCTGGTGCATCCTCTCATCCACCATACCTTTGGCCTACATCCCAGTTCTGTAAGCATAAATAAATAAATCTTAAAACACACACACACACAAAACTTTAGAATAGCTATTTACATGGGCTGAGGACTTTTGAATGAGAAAATACTTACATTCTATGTATTATCTTTGCAATTAATTTCAAGACTAATGTTTTATATTCTCATGATTTATGACTGAAAACTAGATCACTGGCAATCAACTTTCATTTTCAAATCAAAGTACTTTTAAAAATAGTTTTGATGGGTCACTGAACTTTATTTTCAAATATCAAATATTTATTTTCAAATCAGAATTTGTTTCTCCATGTAATTCCAAACAAATACATTTGTTTATGATATCTGAAAAATTGATTGAACTAATTTAAGGGTACACTTAGATGTTCTTTTGACAAAAAGTTCTTTATTTTCTTTTTTACGGAAAAGCATGCCTATTTATAAAGGTTATACGAATTACATTCGAAAAATGACAATTGTTTTATTGATGTGACCTTTTTTCCTTATTCAAATTCAACTGCAAGGTCTACATAATAAGAACAGAATAATAAAAAATAACTATTCAGGAACAAAATGCCAATAAAGATAACTTTCATGGCTTTTCTCCAAATCTCATTTTTTATTTAGTAAGATTTCCATAAAGAATAAGTTCATCTAACTCGATAGAATGGATTAATTTAAACTTTTATTCTGTTTCTCCTTAAATATTATCAGGCTTAATCCTTAAGTATCAATTTATAATAAAAACCCTCAATTTAGCTAAAAAATAAAAACTAAGTAAAATACTAGACACTACAATATTTCTCTAAATTTTCTACTGCAGTATGGATGTTAAACATTATAATATGTTAGCAGTAGAAAGTAGAAGATGGTTTAATGCTATGTCTGAGTTACTGAGAGAAAATAAAAGAAAAATATTAGTCTGTTTTATGTTGTTTGAAATGTTATTCACTTATTCTACATTAAATTAAAAACTTACGGCCCTCCCTGGTGGTGCAGCAGATTAAAGCACAGCACTGAGAATCTAAAGCCGCTTCCGCATGAGTTCGATTCCCGCCTGCCCCTGGAGGTGACCACATGGTGTGGCAGACCTCTCCTGACCCGTCCGCTGCTCCCCTCAGAAATAGTAACTTACGGCCCTCCCTGGTGGTGCAGCAGATTAAAGCACAGCACTGAGAATCTAAAGCCGCTTCCGCATGAGTTCGATTCCCGCCTGCCCCTGGAGGTGACCACATGGTGTGGCAGACCTCTCCTGACCCGCCCGCTGCTCCCCTCAGCAGTGTACTTCGTCGATCTGCCTGTTCTGCTCCCCACTCTGTCTCTGGTGAATCCTCTCACCCTCTGCATCTCTGGCCTGTACCCCAGTTCTGTATGAATAAAATAAATCTTTAAAAAAAAAAAAAAAAAAATTAAAAAACTTACTTATGAAAAGAAGTTAACCGCTTTAATGTAGAAAGAACATTGTAAATATCATCATCATCAGCTTCTTCTCCCTATTAAATAAAAAAGATAGACACCAAGTCATTATTATAATGTTCCCATTCTCAAAAATCTATTAACAGAGAGAACCAAAAAAAAAAGGGACTCCATTTAAAAAATATAAATAGCACCTACTCACTGTGGGTAAATAAGAAGCCCCCTGCCCCTCATGTTCATAATCGCAAAACCTAAGATAACCAATTTTTACACTTTAAAAAAAGTCTTATAAACCTGAATTTATAGTTTTCAGAGTAATACTTCCCGAAGTATATAAAGTTATATCACATTTATTAGCACATAATTCAGTTATAGTAAATTCCTTTAAAATGTTGAATGAATGTTATATATTTTAAAAATTCTAATGGCTATTTCAAAGAATATTACTGATCGTCAGTTCTTCAGCTTTGAAATCACAATGCAAAATAAGAAGTGTCAGAAAAAAATTATCAGTTCACAAAAGTTAAAACTGAAGTTTTAAATAGGGAAAAAGTCAGGTACATAGATTAAAAAGAAAATTCTAGCACTCTGATCTTCAGAACAGAGAAAACTATAGCGGTTCCAGATTGCCATATATAGGTTGTAGGGAGAGGGTAAGAGGCTGGAATCACAGAAATATTCACAAAAATAATAGCTGGAGGCCCTTCCTGGTGGCACAGCCGGTGATGAAAGCACAGCACTGAGAAACTAAAGCTACTTCAGCATGAGTTCAATCCCCGCTCCAGGGATGATCCACGTGGCATGGCAGACCTCCCCTGGCCCGCCCATTGCTCCCCTCAGCAGAGTACTTTGTAGATCTGCCTGTTCTGCTCCCTGCTCTGTCTCTGGTGAAGTCTCTCACTGTCCCTACACCTCTGGCCTGTACCCCAGTTCTGTATGGATAAATAAATGTCTTAAAAAAAAAAAAAAAGCTGGATATATTTACTGTTATCTTGGGCACACCACTGGTAAGCAAGCATCCCTTATAATAAGTACATTTAATTTTTAAGTTACACTCAATAGTACATCATAATAATTCAGTAGTATACAAATGCTTATGAGATCTCATTTACATGAAATGATAAGAAAAGCTAGACCTTAAAAAGATTTTTACTAGAATAGAAAAACCTAGCTTTTATGAAAGTGATTTTAAAATAAAAATAAAATATAACCCAGGTCATTCTTTAAAGGGTGAACAATTAAGATAATGCTAACTTGAAAGGGGTAAAGATTTGTACTAGTTTTTTATTTTAAAATGAAAGGTGAGTTACAAACAGCTACCTTGAATAATCAGCAAAAGTGTAAGTGCACATCAACTTTACAACAAACCTCTTGTAGTAGGTCTTCCACAGAATGATTGAATCGATCTACAAACTCATCAATCAGCTGGCTTCGAGCTATGTCAACTCTGTTTTGGATGGTGTATTCTTCACTGCACAAGATGCTATAGGTTTTACTGCAGGCTTCTAAAACATCTGATTCTACATGTTTCTCCACAACAAACTTAATTTGTTTTAATAAAGCATCCAGATGCTGAGGGGAAAAAATTAAGGTTAATATTTCAGTACCTCAATTGTTAAATAAAAAATATGCTTATATAGTTATATGAAAACAAAATAATCCAGTTAATAAGTCTGATTATAACAGCAGAACTTTAGGAGTGTCTTACCTTTTCCATTCTACCTGTGCTATAAATTTCTAGATCAAAATACTGTGGGATTTGTAGCAGGTTTGCTACTTTCTCTGCATCTGCAGAATACTAGAAAGAGAAGCAAAGACAAAAAGAGGTAACTTTAATAGTACAAGGCAATAAAAAAAATTCAGTGGCATATTATCACAAAAATGTATATGAAATTGTACCTTTGATAGCAACATAGGAAGTGTGATGATAAAATGTTCAGTCAATTTGTTTCTATCATCAATTTGAGTTTTCCTTTCTTTGGCAGTTAGCACCTAGACACAAATTTAAATGGATAAAGAATAGGACTGTCATGTAATATTTGTAAATCTATACCATTACACAGAGTTATGAGACATTATTCTATATATGTATAAATATATTTTATATGTATAAGAATTATAAAATATATAGGCAAATAATGTAATTGAGAATGTTAAGACGAGCTAAATAAACTACTCAAGTAAAATTCACTTAGTTTTATACAAACTTTTTTAGTTAAAACACACCATTATTTTCTTAAATAGCTACTTCAGAATCACTAAACTTTAGATGAATTACTATTGGTTTAGAGTTTATAAAACTATTTCTATGAGTCATGAATATAAAAATACTGGAATCAATGGAGATGTTTTTCTAGAGTTTAAATCTCAATGTTAGTAACACTGATCTCCTTTTATGTTCAGCATTCTTCTAAAACTACTTTAGAAAGTCATTAAAAAAAAACAAAAAAAAAAACCAAATCAGTAGTTGGGCCCTCCCTGGTGGTGCAGCGGGTTAAAGCACAACACTAAGAAGCTAAAGCCACTTCAGCATGACTTCAATACTCGCGCCGGAGGTGACCCACATGGCCGGTGGACCTCTCCTGACCCTCCCGCTGCCCCCCTCAGCAGTGTACTTGGTCAGTCGGCCTGTTCTGCTTTCCACTGTCTCTGGTGAATCCTCTCACCGCCCCTGTACCTCTGGCCTGTACCCTAGTTCTGTATGCATAAATCTTTTTTTAAAAATATCAAGAGTTAATGAATTTTTACATACTTTTAAAAGCCTTACTAACAATTTTTCTAGACTCATTTATATTTGATTCTCCTTTGGACTAAGCTCATGAATCTGTAAAGGCAATAATCAAGAGAGGGTGATGGCTAGTGGTCATGGAATAAATTCAAACTGATAATGCCCTTACCTTAGCTTGGTAAACTGTAATTTTCAAATAAACTATTAAAGTTCAGTATAGTTAAAATAGGCATTTCTCCAAAGTATTATGTATTTTGTTATTATCTTAGAAGAAGTACAATCATAATGCTGAATGGGTTTATAGAACAGAACATTCCATTATACACATATTTATATGTTATACTGAGAAATATTTATATGTTTATGACAAACCTCATAAACATATAAATATTTTGAAAATCTTTCAAAACATTGTGTTTAGTTACATAAAAGCAATTAAAGGGACTACATATAAAATAGAATATAAAGTTAGGAATGTAGTAAGTATATTAAGACTTGAAATTAATTTGACAACGTAGAAAAGGTTTAAGAATACTGATATTAGGAAAATAATTACCTTTTAATAAATGATCAATGTCAAGACACTCTATGTATTAATTCATTTAACCCCTTGCATGGAATATAAAAAAATGCCATTAATACCTATGAATGGGGGAACTTGCCATCTGGTACAAATATGAAATGACACAAATTTATTCATATGATTTCAAATAGCTAAAGAATGGCAATAATCCAAGACTCTCACAATATCCACATAGTATAAACTATGTAGTCAAGAAAAAACTTATCTTCAATTACATTGAGATGATATATATCGAGGATTATTTTTAGATGAAGAAAGTTACAAAATTCTGTATAAAGTTCAAATCTTTTTTAAGATTTATTTATTCATACAAAACTGGGGTACAGGCCAGAGATATGGAGGGTGAAAAGATTCACCAGAGACAGAGTGGGGAGCAGAACAGGCAGATCGATGAAGTACACACACTGCTGAGGGGAGCAGCGGGCGGGCAGGAGAGGTCTGCCTCGCCATGTGGATCTCCTCCAGGGCAGGCGGGGATTGAACTCATGCGGAAGTGGCTTAAGCTTCTTAGTGCTGTGCTTTAACCTGCTGCGCCACCAGGGAGGGCCAAAGTTCAAATCTTTATAAGAAATTAAGAGGGAGGAGAATGAAGAATAAGACAACATCTTTTTGTGTGTACATGCATTTACCTGCATTTGCAAAATCAAACATTGGAAGAATAAATCAGAAACAAAAACAGTTACTAGTGGGAATAGGATCTTGAAATCATTAAGATTTCTCTATATACATACTTTTACATGGATTGGAATTTAAGTATGTGAATGTTACATATTTTTAAAATAGGATAACATTCTATTTATCCTTTTTTACAAAGGATAAAACATCCAAGGGGAAATACTAATATGCTTATTTAAAAAAGATCAGTACAAATGTGATTTTCATATACACATGTACAATGAAAGAGATATATTTCTTATCTTCATCTAATAAAAGTATCTAGAAGAAATGTTAAGTAATTGACAATACTCTTAGGACAAGATTTTGATGTTTAAAATAGTAGTTGCTATTAAAAGGAACCAGGGCTCATTGGTGACTCCTGTGTTAAGTAGCATAGAATCAGCCCTCAAGACGACCTCCCAATCATCCCTGTTTCCATATTGTCATTCTTTATAGTCTCCTTCCACAGTGAATAAGGCTGTTATGTGTAAGTATGACGCTGTAGAAATGATTATGTATGATTTTGCTAGCAGTTATGTATATGTCTCTTTTTTGTTATTACCTTGTCTCTTCTCTACTGCTTTTTTTAGTTAAACATTCTTTAGTGTAGCACTAGAATGTCTTTGTTTTGCTTATCTATTTTAGGTATAAATAGATGCTCTAGTACTACAATAAACATCTTTAAAACTTACAACTGACTTTAATATAACATTAACGACCACAGACTATAGGACTTTTGCACCGTTATATTTCCTTTATCCTTTTTATTATTGTTCTCATGTAAATTTATGTTATAATCTTAATGCTATTAACTACATTAAATAATCACTTGTCTCTATAAATAAAAAAGATATATAATATATACAGCTTTTTATATTCCTCCACATATTTACCTTCATTCCTTTCTGTGAATATGACTTACCATCTATATTATTTTTAATAGCCTGAAGGATTTCTTTCAGTATTTCCTATAAGACAGGCCTTCTAGCAACCTGTACCTTAATCTTTGTTTATCAGGGAATGCTTTTATTTCACTGGCACACCACCTGAAAGCTAATTTAGCTAATTTTACTGGATTTATAATTACTAGTTGACAATTTTGTTGTCATTCAGCAACTACGTCACTGTATGGTATTCCAGCATCACTGGTAAGAAGTCAACTGCCAATTTCATTGCTGTTGCCCTCTAGATGAGTTTCCTTTTTGTTTTCAGAATTTATCATCTTTGACTTTTTTTTTTTTTTGTTAAGATTTTACTTCTTTATGCATACAGAACTTGGGTACAGGCCAGAAGTGCAAGGGCGGTGACAGGACTCACCAGAGACAGAGTGGGGAGCAGAACAGGCCAATTGACGAAGTACACTGATGAGGGGAGCAGTGGGCGAGACAGGAGGTATGCCATGCAATGTGGATCACCTTTAGGGCTGGGAATTGAATTTATGCTCAAGTGGCTTTAGCTTCTCAGTGCTGTGCTTTAACCTACTGTGCCACCAGGGAGGGTCCCATCTTTGACTTTTAACATGCAACATATCCTGTATCTCCCTGAGACCTCATCTGTTTGTGGGTTAAAGAGTATATTCAAAGGTCAGTCAGGTCTTGTTTGTCTTAGCTTTTATTTTTCCATAGGGCTTGGTCAATCTCCCCTGTCAGTGAGGAATATATGGAGAACCTGTGTAGCTGTGTTAACAGTTTTCTCATTTCAAGGAGAAATTTTAGCTGGTCCTACTTTTTTTTTTCACCAACTGAGATCATAACCACCAAACAGCACAGCTTTGATATTTTTCCTTGTTTATTTCTACCATTTGCTCTCTCTAGTTAACAAAGTGTTGACTTCTGATACCTGTCCCATGCTGAGTTTATACTCTGACAGAAAAGCAGCTGGTTTATACATACAGTACCACTATGAAAGACTACTGACCTCACCAATCAGGCTTGTGATTATATGTATACTGGAAATCCACACAAGGTACCAAAAACTACTGCAAATTTTACATGAAACTTTAGCAATGTTTTTAAGGATAAATGTTTCTGAACTTGTTATCTTTGTGAATTTCTAGAGGGCTGATATGGGTTTTTTGGGACTACAGATTATTTAATGTAGTTAATAGCATTAAGATTATAACATAAATTTACATGAGAACAATAATAAAAAGGATAAAGGAAATATAACTTGGTGCAGCTTTATACTTTTTAAATGTTTTTTTGGCAGAAAAAACTGCCTATATCTTCATAAAAACAAACTCAGATTTTACATCTGTGATTATCTCATTTTATCTTTAATACCAAGAACAACTGTAATATTAGCCCCATATTATAGACAAGAAAATTAAGGCACAAAAAATAACCAATTATCCACAAATTATACAGTTGTCAAATGGAACTAAGCAGCTTGCCTTTAGAGCCTTTCTATATGGAGTTTTTAAGAGATATGAATGTGAAAATTCTTGAAGTGCTAGGATAGGTGAAGTATAGATGTTATTAGAGCATGGGAGAAAAGAAAAGAATCTATTTTTGGATCCTGAGTATACAGTAGACACAACATTAAAAAGATGAAGCACCTAGAGAAATAACCCAGAAAGGAAAGGAAAAATACCAAATGATGTCATTCACAGCAGGAGTATAAAGGATGGGGGGGGGGAGAAAATAATAATAATAATGAATAGCTATATACCAGAGACATTTTGCAGTGATGGGATGGGGAATGGGATCAAAAATGGAGGTGGGGAGAGTGCACTGGACTATGATGATGGCACACAGGTGATTTGGTGATGGTAAGCCCACGGGGATTACAACTGAGATGGAAAAAGGCACAAAATGATGTGAAAATAAGCTATTAAAAGAAAAAAAAAAAAAAAAGATGAAGCACCGTAGCAGGTATCACTTACAAAATGCCATGCTTTAGGATACATCTATCAGTAAAATTATCAAATATTTAAGATGGTTAATAGGTTACACTAAAGCCTTTTTGTTAATTTCTCAGTAATACAACTTACTCTCTTGCCGGTGCCTCTTCCCACTGGAGGATGTGCCTCAGCAGCCTGACGAATTGTACAAACCATTAGTTCTATAAGAGCACTCTCTTGACGGTCAGACATTGCTAAGGTGAAACAAGACATATTAATAAGTAGAGAGCTTTATAACCATGCATTAAAGATGAACACAATTATAAAAAACTGTAAATGTATTCAATTACTGATTAAAGTTAATCTATTTTTCCATTTTAATATGTGTTTGTCCTTAAGAAAAACAAGAGATATGAAAAGTAAAGAAAACAGATAGACTGGTCTCTTCTATTATCTAGCTTCTAATATTGTGCTTCTGAATTAGTGTGACAATAACATTTTACTGACTTTTTATATATCATTTAAAGATCATTTAAGAGGGTAGCTTTCTATTTTTGTTTTATTTTTAAAAACTTAATGTTATTCTCATTAACACTATTTTGAATAATATAATTAATTATAAATGGTAATTTGTGTTATATAATTCAGTCACACTTTTCCTGAAAGTTCACTGAAATTTTTTTAAAATTCTTATCACTATAAATAATGTAACAATAAATAGCATTAACACCATATATATGTAACTGATACTTTTATTTCTGTAGAATAAATTTTGAAGGGTGAGAGTAGTAAGTCCAAGGTTAAAATGTTGATGTTAACAAATTACAAGATAATTTATTGTAATTCACATCTCCAACTGTAACACTAAGAGTGTTTAGGTCCCCATATCCCTACCAACACTAGAAATCCCTTTAATTTTTGCCAACCCATGACTGAAAATGGCATTTCATTATATTTTGAAATGGAGTATATTTTCTTGTCAACTTTGTATATAACTTTTTGAGATTTTTCTATGATTAGTCACTCCTTTTTTTTCTTTTGTTATTCGCTTTTCCTATCCTCTTATGAACTTTTCTATATTAGGAATAACAATTTTGTATTCTGAATGGTACAAATGTTTTCTTCCAGTTTGTCCTTTTTTGTTAACACTCTCTTCGCCTTATTATTTATCAGGTAGATACTGTTAATTTTTACAATTTGTTCCAATTTGTTCTATGACTTCTGCGCTTCACCTCCCAAACCCCCAGCTTTAAAATGTAACTGACAAATAAGCTTCAGGGTTTCTTGTGTTGCTTTCAAAGATGTCCTTATTCTCAGTATTATAGAAATATATTTTCTCCTTCTCCTTCCTTTCCCTTTCTCTTTGATGTTCTCCCTTTACTTTCTTCTTTTTACTTCTTTAATCTACTTATAATTTTTTTCCTGACAATACGTATGGAGCAGCAGATGAACATCCAATTATGCCTTCACCATTATGATACAATCAGCTTTCCTTGTGAAATTTGAAAGTCATTTTAACATGTTTTAGGCTCCCATATATATTTTTTGAATTATATCTGAACTCTCTAGCATTCACTAATCTATTCCTATGTAAAGTCATACTGTTTTGATTATAGGTGTTTACAATATAATTGCATTTAAATACATACTTATTATATAATTTTAACTCGAACAATTTCCTTTCTAGTCCTTTTATAAGGTGTTTCTAACTTTCATAATAGCAATTTATTAGGCATTTAAGTATAAAGACTGTAAAAAAAATGACTTATTTTTATGTATTAACTTGTTTTACATTCAAAACAATTCTAAGAGATAGAACTAAGACTTCATACTCTCCACCTGGGGAAAATGAGTCACACAGAGGTTAAGTAATTTTTCAAAGCACTTAGCTTAGTAGAGCCAGGATATGAGTTCATGTCGTTTGACTCTAGAGTCTGTGCTTTTAAGTACTGTTATATAGTAGGTTACATTTCATTGTAACATTGAGGAATTAAGAGTCCTGATTGACTTGGAAGGAAGCAATACTATTCAAAGTCTGGATTCTTGATACTTATTCTGCTTAAAGTCAGTTTCCAAGACCTTTTGGACAGTGTTAAGTGAGGACTTTCTTTACTGCTCATTTTACATAAGCTTTGAAACTATATAATTTTTTGCACAAAAGAACTGGAGTAGGCCAGTGGTAAGGGATGAGAGGGTTCATCAGAAATAGAGTAGAGAGTAGAACAGAGAACTCTACTGCAATATACTGCTAAAGAGAGCAGAGAACAAGACTGGAGAGGTCTGCTGCACCATGTGGGTTAGCTCCCTGGTAAGGAGGGTCAAACTCAGGCCATAGTGATGAGACATAAGCCATAGGCCACCAGGGAAACCCCTACATAAATTTAAAAAATAATTTTGTTTAGTTTTTTTCCTCACCTCACCTTCCAGAATGTTCTCTAATCACTAGAATTCAGATTGGTATCTGAAAAAAAGTACTATCTGGTAATAAATGACATTGTTATTCTCTTTCAGTAAGATGATTTAGATGTTTTACCCTCCTAGTCATTTAACAAAATATTATAGTTTTCTTCTCACCAGTTCTGTACTTTTATTCTTAAATTCATTCCCATGTGTTTTTAAAGATAAGACTTTGAGACTAACTTGATCAGTTTAATTCTAATTTCCGTCTCCCTCCCTTGATCTCCTTCTTTATACACTTACTTATGTTAAAGATCAACATTTATAGAGGTTACAGACAGACCAGGTATAAAAAAGAAAGATTTAAAAGTTTATATTGAATATTTAAAAATAAACTGGGGCAACAGCAATGAGAAGGCAAACAAATATAGTATCTTATCTTTTATTCTGTAACAAAATTATTCTGTACAAGAAGTAAATATGTACATCATAATTATCATTCTGTTTTAACATAAAAACATGAACTTCAGTTTAGTTTAGAAAAACCACATGAAATAATAGCTTTTCTATTTGGACTCCCTGATCCAATACCTAATAATATAAAAGCAATACAAAACTTAATTAATAAACAAGAGTCAAATAGATGCAATGGTTTAAACAAATGGGTAGCTGTTAAATCATATGAATTCTCAGATAACTATACAACTTCCTAAGTCAGAAACCTCTTTGCATATTATCTCCTTTTCCTCACTACTGATTTTACTCTGATCACCTTAACCTTTGGATTCTTTTCTTACTATCCATTGAAAACAAATGCTTAAAAGTTACCAACACCCTAAATCACCACTAAATCTAAAGATGTTTATGCATCTTTTTCTTCTCTGCTATATATGCTATTATTGGTCATAGCTTTCTTGAACACCGTCTCTACTAGGTTTAAATGATCCCTTATTATTCTCTTTACAGCTTCTAAATTGCAATTTCTCTTACTCTTCTTGTTTTGTCCCATACGCACAATTCATAAAAATAAGACATGAATTCTTTTCTTCTTTATAAGCCAAACTAATTCTCCTTTTCACATCTTTTTCTTAAAGCATCTCTCATAAGTCACTGAGACAACTACCTAATTGGTCTTCTATTTCAAACCATATTTACAAAGTCTCTTAAAATATGAATCAGATCCTATTACTCCCTTGATCAAAATTCTTAAATGGCTCCCACTACTAGACTTAGAAAGAACTAAATAAATCTTATGAACTAAAGCATTCTACATCATCTCGTCTCTGCTTCTATCACATTTTATGTTACTGGCTTACTATGCTATAGTTATTGCAGCTACAGGAACATCACATTATCATTCTTGTTCCCAGTATTTTGTGACTGCTGTTTTCTCTATTTAGAGGATTCTTTTGATACTTCCTATGCTTGGCCATTCATTCTTAAATTCTTTTTTTAAAAAAAAGATTTATTTTATTTATTCATATGGAACTGGGGTACAGGCCAGAGATGTGGAGAGTGAGAGGATTCACCAGAAACAGAGAGGGGAGCAGAACAGGCAGATCGATGAAGTACACTGCTGAGGAGAGCAGTGGGCAGGTCAGGAGAGGTCTGCCTCACCATGTGGATCTCCTCCAGTGCAGGCGGGAATCGAACTCATGTGGAAGTGGCTTTAGCTTCTTAGTGCTGTGCTTTAACCCGCTGTGCCACCAGGGAGGGCCCTCATTCTTAAATTCTTAACTCACAGGTAGTGACCTTAAGCAGTCTTCCTTAGGATTCAATTTGTATGGTGGTATTTTTATCCACCATACACTTATTAGCTCTTAAAGTTATTCTGTTTACTTGTTTTGTTCTACCTTCCCCACTAAAATGGAAGTTCTACGATGGGAATGAGCTGATCTTGTTTAAGACTACATCCTCAATGCTTAAAAAGCACATAGCAAGTGGTGAATATTTAAAAGTACAATTGAAGGATTCCATGCTTTGAAGAATTTCAATTATACACATTTATTTTATCCATCAACTGAAGCACAGAATTTTAGCAATCAGAAATTAGCACAGACTTATCAAGTCAAAGTCCTTTTTCAATACAAGAAGCTATGATTCAGACAAGTTAAACGACTTAGTTATGGCCTGGTTATGTTTTATTTTTGCCTAAATTTTAATACCCTCACATACTAAAATGTAATCCTGTAATTTGATTTCAATGTGAATACACACCCACCTAACCCCAAATGAAAAACATACTCTGTCCTTTAAAAATACTGCCAGGCAGTTTTAAAGACATTAATTTAAAAAGTTACTGATACTCTAACAAGTATGTGTACCCCCAAATGCTAGTCCTATTATCTCTAATTGCTTATTACTAGACTTTCATCCACTGTAAAATCTATCTCACTCCAAATCCTATAACTTAATTTATAATTATTCTTAAAAAAATTACTAGTGGCACTTTGTTATCATGAAACACAGCAAAACATTAGCACAAAAAAGTGATCTGGATGCTATTCCATGACAGAGCCTACATATAGCATAGCATGCATATGGACAAATGTATAAGTTATAGCATGATATAGACATAGCTCTGCAAGTTATAAATAATTATCCCTAGGCTTGTCTACCAAGATTCAATCATACACTAAGACCATTCTTTGGCTAAAAAAAATATCCTCCATTTTATAGCTCACTTTTCTGGTTAAAAGCAAGCCTGACAAACCAAACCAACTGCTAGACTAGAAATTAAACACAAATAAACTATAAATTTAAATCACAATGAAACACCTGCCCTGCTTTTATATCTAGAAGAATGAACCACACAGAAGAGAAGGACAGAACCTAGTATGCAATTACATCACAACAAAATAAGGTATGCAAGAAAAGTAATCTCTATCTTACAAAGAAAGAGAAGCTAAAGATTAAAAAAAAAAAAAAAGGACATTCATAACAAGACAATTAAAAACAGGGATTTACTTCTTTTGATTCGAAAGTCCCCTTTTTAGAGCACGATTAGCCTCATTTATATCAAGGTATCATCTGTATTCTAGAACCATTATATGAATGAAATTAAATAATAATTCACGTTATTATTTAGCATATAAGACGCATGCTTTGAAATAATCACATAGCAATTATTTTCCCTGTTTCTTGAATAACTACATAAATGACTATATTTTTGATTTCCTGATTTTAATATTTAAGATAATAAAACAAAAGAAGGGATGATGGAGTCTAATTAAATCCTTATGTGTTAAAGGCTTTACTAAATCCACATGTAAATATATCACAAAACATTTTTGCATGCATTTTTTTACATTAACTACTTTTTTTACTTTAAGATTTTTGTTTTAAATCAGCACAAAGAAAGAATTTGAATATTACCAAACAATTAATATGGATTTTAAAAAACTTGGGTGAAAATGTGTTGGGAAGCATTCTCTCTTCCACAATATCACTAATATCATCAATTTTCTTAAAAAAAGAAACAAAAAACAAAAAACCTTGGGTGAGATATTAGTAGCCAATCTAAAAGGATGTTATAAACTGTTGAGAAATCTTTACTAATTGCAGGAAACAAACTGTACTCTTTGCAAAATGATACACATCATGCTTACATATATTCATTTTTTAGAAGTGAACTATACAGAAAGGTATGACTGAATGGAAACCCAAAATAATAATGTAAATCAACTTATCAAAATACTATACCTTCCTCTCCTTGAACAGGTTCTTCTAGTAGCAACTCTGTCATACATTCCCAGTCTTTCAACAGTTCTTGAGAACTCTCCCACAAACTGTCCACCAAGTAGGCTGCATGTTCATGTAACTAAAAATAATAAATCAACTGTGACTGAAGAATATTTAATGAAGAAACAACTACTGTATTTTGAGTCAAACCATTTTTTTCCATAATTAAAATGGCCCAATCACAATGTTTCTAAGAGCTGCTGCGAAAACAATATTGTATTTTACTGTCAACAATAGGGCTGCAATGAATAGAAACATTCTTTTTTGTTTGTTTGTTTTTAACAGTAGTAAGGTTAAGGATCTCCTAGTCCAAAGAAAGGCATCATTTATAGATAAAGTAACTTAAGTAAACTAGTTAACAGAATTCCTGATTACAAGTTGCATTAAGGCCACTTTTTACTATTACTAATTTGTCTCTTTATAACTTATCTCTTTTAAAGGACATTAATTACTTTCTTTCAGAATCCCATTTGAAACTTTGGTACTAGCCTACTTTACATCTCTTGTTATTTTTGTTCAGATCAGAATTTAAGTGACTATCTTCCTTCTCTTTTCTACTCTTGATTTCCATTTGACACCATGCATTCCCATAGTTTCCATTTTTACTTTAGCAATTTTATATGAACTCACATTCCCAAAGTAAACACATATAGTTATGTTCTTCATCTTGTCTTATTAGTAGCTGGATCGGCTGCTGGCACAGTTCAAGCTTTTAGTGTAATTCCAGTAGCAATGGTGTTTTTAAGAATGACTTTTCTATGCACTGAAACAAGGCATATTAAAATCTGGCTTGGGCCTTTTCATTGTTGTTCCAGAATATATGTGTTCTAGTAAACATTCTCATGTAGATGTTAATTTATCTGATTGATCACTTTCCCATTTTTTGGACTCATGTGATAACTTAGTAAAATGTATTCTGTTAACACCAATAAACAGTTGTTCTGATGTGTATACCAGAAGTATGTGATGTGTGGGTCCACTTACCAGGTAAGAGTGGCTACCAACATTAGCAGCAACAATTACTATGACATGGCCAATCAGAAACTGACGACATAATGTTTACAATACAACCTTTTTTGGCCACTTAAGTTGCTAGTATCAAAACTGTATATGAATACCAGCTAAGTCCATGAGAAAAAAAGACCAACAAAAATCCACTATCATAGGCAGTAAAAGTAGCAGATTACAACCACCTTTCAGATACTTTATACCAAGGACCTTCTATTGGTAGTGAAAGAGCTATAAGAAGGTATGTTCTGAGGCATTTTCAATGGTTATAAAATTGAAAAGGATCTAAAATCCTCAAAATAAAAAATGTATCCAAAAAATTTTTGGATCATAACCTTAAAAAATGGTATGAAAATCAGGCATCTGTAGGTACTGTTTGTGCTTTTGCTTTTCAAGATACATGAAGAAGAAAGGCAATTCATTAATATAAGTCACTGGAAAGCAAAACTGATAAAGTTGATTTATAAATCACAAATTACATTTATATCTAGCTAGATTTTATATTCCTGCTTTTATTTATGATTTATTTCATAAAGGTTTCTTCTAAGTCTGTAGAGAAGGCAAACTAATCTTATTTTCCTGGTGACTTTAATTATCAATTCAATTTTCTAAGTGTAGTCTAAAGCATCTTTAACTGACTTCATAGCTACTCATAATGTTTTAGCTCAAGCTTTTTTTCTGTTTACTAACCTCTCTGTTAAATAATTAAATATATTACAGGAATTCACTGTATAATGGAACTTTACAGTGATTTCTCTTATGAAAAAATAATTTACAATACAGATAATCATCCCTAGTTATTAAAACTAAAATATCTAAGTATCCCTATATTGGGTTTTAGTTTCTGCTGAAATAAAGTCAGTCATGGGAAATCCTGAACAACATATAAACAAAAAAGGAAAAACATTACCGTTCAGGTACTAGAAATAAGCCAGGTGCAGAAGTTTCTTGGTTCTATCAACAAAGTGCATTAATTTCCTGTCTTAAATGACTGTCTTTATTAGCCTCATCATTCCATATGCCTAGGAATGATTATATGTCTAGATATCCAGAAATGCTCTGGAATATGCTTATTACTGTGGAATAATTATTAGTAGCATCCTTTTTCCTCTGTAAAGCATCAGTTTGTATACTGAATTCTATGATCACAATGTTGACAGGGAAATAGGAACTCATCACACTGAAGTACAATGTATCCTACCAGTTGGCATGTACCTAAACTATACAAAGTACATGGTCATTTGAAACCAATGACTGTTATAAAGAAGGCAATGGCTTAAAAATGTCATTTGCAAAGAAAGTCAGCCATTACTGACAGTTTACAAGACTTCTTAACCCCTATCATTTTACCTATAATTCATACACAAAACAGGCAGACGATTCTATGGAACGCAAGCCTCTTTCAATAAAATTTTTCTAATTCTATAATTAAAATGTTAATATGCCAACAGGACAAAGAAAGAAAGATCATAGCTTACTTGATCCTTAAGTGACTGGTAACTTATACATAAGCAAGATTCTATTTTTTAAAAGAGATTTGTTTATTTACGCATTCAGAACTGGGGTACAGGCCAGAGGCAGGGGCAGTGCAAAGTTTCACCAGACACAGAGTGTGGAGCAGAACAGGCAGAATGACTAAGTACACTGCTGAGAAAAGCAGCAGGCAAGACAGGAGAGGTCTGCTGCACCATGTGGATCTCCTCTGGGCCAAGGATCAAACTCTGCACTGAAGCAACTGTGGCTAGCTTGCAGTACTGCATCCTAACCCGTGTGCCACCAGGAAGGGCCCAATTAATTCTATTTTGATTTCCAAGGTTGCTTTCAATTCAGTTTATTATTAAAATACTATTAGTTATCATTTGTTAAGAGTAAAACAGGAATTCAGTATATAATCATAAGTTAGAAATTTAGTATACAATCGTAAACCCACCATAATATAAGAAAGTAACTTTAGTAGTTCTGGCTCTGGGCAATACAAATATAAGAAGATATAAGAGTTTTAACAAATGTTTTTTGTGAAACACAGGAAATTAGAAATATTACTATATGTGATCATGAATCAACCAGACATCCTAAAATGTGACTCTACTTGTTTCTGCAGGAAATGCTACAGATGAAAGGAATGCTACAGATGAGAACCTAGTGAATACAGAAATATAGTAATAACCATCTGGAAATAGAGCAGCTTTAAATAAAAGCTGTAAATGGGTAACAGGTCTCATGCTTTTTCATTATAAAAAAATAAAAAGCCCGACTTTTCAAATATCCAAGAAATTTCCCTTTAATAATCAAGTTCAATTAGTTCAGATTAGCGTATTCCCTAAACTCCGCTAAACTTTGGAGTAAATAGTTCAAATAGTATTTGAATGTCTTATCCCTAATACTTTTGAAACCATTTTCATAATAAAGTGAAACTTTTACATGGACTTGTTTGTTATATAGTATGTTCAAGCCTGTTTCTCTTTAATTTAAGGATTTGGGAGTATTACTTAAATGGTCTACCTAAAGTATGACTTAGTATTTACTATTTCATCTTAAACATACCCAAATATTTTGTATTCTGCTCCACATTTGCTTGGTTAAGAAAGTTTTCAAAACCGTACTATGTGAAGTATTGTACCCTGGACCACAGCTTAAACAGCACCTAGGAGCTTATTAGAAATGCAGCATCTCAGGCCTCTTACCAGAGTAACTGAATTAAAACTGGCATTTGAGAAGGATTCCCAAGTAATTTGTATGCATATTTGAAACACACTTTTTAAACACATGCTTTACACAAATGCAGCCCTCTAGCCAGCTTTGATTTTTACTTTATTTCTTCTTTACTCATTCTCAATTCACTTAGAAAATATTAGAAACACCTTCACCACTTTTTGACATACTTTCTCCTAACCCCACTCATTTTACTGACTCAGTTCTTCGCCTCTAATTTTAATTTTCACATAGGGTGCCCGACTGTCTTTGTGTTCCTAGTCCTATACAGTTTCTTTGGTACTTCCAAATTCAAGTAAGTCAAAGGTTTTTAACTTCTCCTTCTTCCTGGACATTCCAACACAGAACAAAAATACTTTTTCACAAATAAAATTGGAAAATCCTGTTTTCTAGATTTTCTTTTTTCACTTTATTATAACTGTTTCCACTTGTTTCTAAGTCAACTAAGTTTACTTATTCAAGCGTTCTTTTACATTTCCTACAATAGTATACACAAAATAGAAAATACAACTTATTATCAAGGAGCATTTTTATGGTCAAAAGCAAAATTCACTTATGCAAATAGATTAGTATAATGTATTGTGAATTTTAATTAAAAATCGTTTAGGTGACGACTACCACTTGAAAATATAGCTATCAGTTTGTACAAATATCAATTAAAAAACTTAAATTCTTATTTTTCTTCTTAAATAATTTTCAAATAAGTCAACACTAAAGGTTTTCACAGCTTGACAAATTTGAAAAACTGTTTAAATAATTTCAAAGCTATACGCAAGGCAAAAAAAAAAGGGGGGGAAGCAACAATGGGCAAAACTGTATGCAGTTCTACAATACTAGATAAACTTAAAATTGTGAAGCTATATTGTGTGTTGATCCATACCTGCATACATACTCCTACAAAAAAACACAAAGTCCTTATTTCCTAACCAGGTAATCAATGGAGGCAACTTTGTAAGAAACAAACTTATTTTCACTTGATTAAAAAATAATCAATAACTTCAAGAAATGACAATTTTAATTAATATATAATCTAATCCCGAAACAAAAGAGTTATATTAAAAATTTACCTCACTTTCAAGAAAGAAAAGAACCAGCATCCTAATGAGGTTCCCATTGGGACTGTTCCTTCCCCTCCTCTTTGCTAATGCTTCTTCTGCTTGTGGGTCATGTCTGCTAAATAGTCTGGAAGTAACAACAAAGCAAAGCATTAAAATTTGCATAGATATGAATTTTAGTTTTTACTTCACTGTGTAAATTATTTCTGGGTAAAAAAATAACAGAGATCAGGTCACTGATTTATTTCAAAATAAGTGTATATGTTTTCATAGGTTAAGAGAAATGGCTAGATGTGAACAATTTCACACATCCAACCATATAGAAAATGTAAAGGAAAGCTTTTCATTGACAAATCATTAAGGTTCAAATATGCATAGAAAACATACACTGCTATTTTACAGATTAGACAGATTAGACAGTATGACAGATTAGAATGTGTAATTTTAAAGAGCTCTGTTCCCTTAAAAACTAATTTCACAAGAAGGCAAAAAACCCACCTACCACGTGAAGACTAAAACCCACACTACTGGAAGACCATTGGATCAATGAGGAGATCAAAGAAGAAATTAGAAAGTACTTGGAGAAGAATGACAATGACGACACAAGTCTCCAAAACGTATGGGACACATTAAAAGCAGTTATAAGAGGAAAATATATAGTAATACAAGCTCACATAAAGAAACAAGAAATAGCTCAAAGAAACAACCTAATGTCCCACCTTAAAGAATTGGCAAAACAACAACAAAATAACCCAAAAGCCAGCAGAAGACAAGAAATAATAAAAGTCAAATCAGAAATGGAAGTCAGGTAAACAGTCCAAAAAAAAAAAATCAACGAAACCAAAAGTTGGTTCTTTGAAAAAATAAACAAGATAGACAGGCCACTAGCAAGACTCACAAAGAAAAAAACAAGAGAAAGCACAAATAAACAGAATCATAAACGAAAGAAGAGAAATCACAATAGACACAGCAGAAATCAAAAGAATAATCAGAGAATACTATGAACAATTATATACAAACAAATTGGACAATTTAACAGAAATGGAAAAATTCCTACAACTCTACAACCACCCAAAGCTAGATAAAGAAGAAATAGAGGGCCCTCCCTGGTGGCGCAGCGGGTTAAAGCACAGCACTGAGAAGCTAAAGCCACTTCCGCATGAGTTTGATTCATGCCTGCCCTGGAGGTAACCACATGGCGTGGCAGACCTCTCCTGATCTGCCCTCTGCTCCCCTCAGAAGTGTTCTTCGTAGATCTGCCTTTTCTGCTCCCTGCTCTGTCTCTGGTGAAGCCTCTCGTCACCCCTGCACCTCTGGCCTGTACCCCAGTTCTGAATGCATAAGTAAATAT